GCACTTAACACAGAACATCATGAATAGTAAAATTCAAAAAATCAGAAATTCAATAATAAAAATAATAATCTGAGCCCTGAGTAATCATAATTTCCTTAAGAAAAATTTACTCTCTTTCGGTGCTTAAAGTTGATAAGCAAATGTCTCTCAAGATAGAATATATTTCATTCTTGAAGATGCAATACTTTAATCTCCAAGACTCCAACGAACACAATTATGTGTTTACATTTGAACCAAACTTGAAATAATAATGCAGCAAAATGCACAGAGAGAGAAAAAAAGAGAGAGAAGAAAGACTGAATACTTAATTCAGCATTTTAGATAATTGAGAGAACTAGAATGAGAGAGCAATTTTGAATTGTTCAATACTAAGTGTAAGGAATTACCTATTTATAAACTCACTAGTGATTTCTCATAAAGGGTACAACCATATGTAATGATATTTTTTAGTCCAAATGGTATCAATGGTAATTTTATGAAAATGTACAACTATTTGAATACTGTTTTTTAGTCTAAGAGATATCAATAGTGATTTTATAAAAAGTTGTGACTATTTGTAATGGTGTCCTTTAACAAAAAGGTGTTAATTGTGACTTTATAAAAAGATGTAACTATTTGGATTTGTATCTCTAAGCAAAAGTTATCAATTTTAAATTAGTAGTCTTTAATGTCATATTCACTTCATACGTTTTCAATTGCTCCCAAAAGTCATAGACATTAATAATTTATCGTTCACTACTTAATGATTTTTAAAAAAAAAATACATATACTATTATTTCAACATATAATTGACACAATCATGTCGTGACACGATGTAACTCTTTAGTTTATATAAACAATTGAATGATAAATTGAGTTATTGCCATAATTTTTGTAATTGTTTGGTGTAATTATAACACATGAATAACTGTTTGATTTATTATAGAACAATTATAAATGATTGATATAACTAATTAGTATAATTATGTTGTTATAATATTGATATAAACAGAGAGAGAAAATACGAAGAGAGGAATGGTGATAGAAAATAGGGGGAGAGCGTGAGAGAGAGAAAATAAGAGAGAGATAAAAAAATCAAATTAAATCTTTACATATTTGAAAAAAAATAAATTATCAATGAAAAATAGAGAAAGAAAATAAGGGAGAGAGAGGGAGGGTAAGAGAGAGAGATGGAGAGAAAATAGGGAAGAGATGGAGAGAGAATAATGGAGAAAGAGGGAGAGAGATGGAAATAATAAAAATTATTTAAGGAAAGGTGAGTAAGTAAAAAAATTTAAATGTCATTTGAATTTTGTATCTAATCACGAGATGTTTTATTAAAATTAAACTTAATAGAGTAAAATACTTATTCATACACTTTCTTTCAAATAAATCTAAAAAAATGTACCAACACAAAAAAAAAAACCCTTAATTTTTTTCAAATTACAACCTAATGAATAAAAAAAACTAAATAATACTTCTATTATGATTATGAAGATTGCGATTGAAGGTCTTACTCATGTGTCTAGTCAAGCTCAAAAAAATGAATCCATATCTTGACACGATGTGTCAATTGCATTATATTTTTTATTTTTTTTGATTTACAGTTAACCACTTCCTCTATTACATTATATGAATGAATAACTACTTAATTGTGCGAATTCTATTTATTTATTTGTTATTTTATTATTAGACGGTACCCACCATGACACGCAATATTTTCTCTATAGGCGAGGGCTAAAGTGCCCATGTGAAAGTGAATAGGGTTGATTTGAGTCTCATGGGTTGGGTTTTGGCGTAGGAATTTAATTTTAAAAAGCTAGAAATGCAGAGAAACAAAGTTGTACAACACTAAACCGGAGTTAAATTTTATTTAAGGTTTAATTCAAAAAATATTAATTTTTAAAATTTTAAAACCAGAATTAATTTGGGCTACAGAAAAACTCGTACTAAAAACTAGATTCAATATCAGATTAAAGTTTTGGATTAAACTTTGTGTTTAGTTATCAGGTTTCACAATTCAAGTGTTGAACCTTGCAATCACTAATACGAGTCTAGTCCTCAATATGTAATTGTATGGTTGTCTATGGAGGTGAAGGACCAAAGTCTTCCACGAATGATTGGACCTCTAAAACCCTCCATAATAGATTGACGTGTTGATGATTCAAGTCCCTCTTCCTTCACTCGTCGTGTAAAAATGGGTGTCTTATATTTAGATTGAACTCAAGTTAAGTTCAATTTACTCGTCCAAGTTACAATCATTGTTCGAATGAGATGTATGGCCTACATAAAGGGTTTTGTTTCTAAGGAAAAATAATGTGTGGATGTTAGCAGAGAGACATGAGTGGATGAAAAATAAAGAACATTTAATGAAATAACCTTTCTTTTTTTATGGTTGAAAATAAAGAGAACCCCACAGCTGTTTGACTCACACGGAAGGAAAACAAAATACAGCTCTACATAGTCACGGAAGTCTGAAACACATCATGGCCATCTTTTCGCACTTTCCGTTTTTATTTTTCTCCACTTGGACCCACCCACCTTCTTTATTCTATCGTTATGACCGCCCAGAGCCAAAAGATTCCACCGACTAGTGTCGTTTAATAGAGTACCGATTTCACTCGGAGTCCAACCCAAAAAAACTAAGATTTGGGTTGAACTTAAATTAAAAAATTTTAATTTGAATTCAATTTGGACAGACCTCGGATTGACCCCTCTGATTCATGGGTTGAACTCGAATTACTATTATATAAATATAATTTTATAATTTATATTAGGGTTAATATGATTTTCTTATCCTTATGAACTGTATTTTGTTTATGTTTGTGTTATGTTAAACTGGTTCTGTGCAAGACAATAATGTTATGTTTTGTAATGACAACAATGTTGTTATTTCTATTAAACTGGCAGCAGTGTTTATGTTTTGCACTGGCAGCAATGTTTGTGACTTTGTGTTCTGTATGGTTATGGTTGTATTGAGTTCTTAATATTATGATTTTTATGTTAAAAAATTTGATTGAAGTTGTTAGTTGTTAAATTATTTGAATATTATGTAATATATGTATCAGATTTAAAACATTAACCCGAAATCAGCCTGAAATCATTAATTTGAATTCAATCTGAGCCCGCCTGATTTAAACTCATGTAGTGTTTGAGTTGAGTTTATCAACTTGAGATAGGGTTAGGGTTGGGGTTAAGGTTGAAGATTATTTACCTAGGATTGAGTTAGAGTTGACTGTCCAACCCGCTCGAATTGCACTTCTACTCTTCACTTTGAAGTTGAAAAGTTCGAATCTTGAAGTCTTCATTGAGGCTTGGTGGTTAGCCACTATGTTAGCCTAGTTAGGTCTAATCCCGAGAAGTGTTTTAGGCGCGGTCAGAGGCCTTATAATTCCATTGGTGAGGGCCTATCGAGGTGGTCGCTGGACTCTCTTTCTTGTCCCCACCTATTTTTTTTAACCAAAAAAAAAGCCAAAAGATTAAATTTAAGTAGTCTAGTGATATCAAAAATAAGTTATAAATTTAAATATTATGAGTTTAAATTTTAGTAATTTTTTAAGATCAGGTTATAAAAAATTTATCTCTCTTAAATATCTTAATCATGATATAGATGACATATCTCTTTAAAAAAAAAAAAAAAGGCAAAAGGGTTAGGTACACATTTTTGGAGGAACACTTTATACTTTACTACACGGATCTAACTTATGTCTTTCCATGGCCATGGAGAGCCCACCATGTCTGATGTTTTTCCATAGCTGGCCAATTTAGAAATGAGTAATGATACGCCTATTTAAAAAATAGATTTAAAAATTAAATTTAATAATTATAACTATTAATTTTATTACGAGTCTTGGTGTTTATTAGGATTCACTACCTATTCAATTGTTAAAATTATCAAATTTAATTTTTAAATTCATCTAACATTATTTTTCAAAAATTCAAATCGTTACATATTGTCTTCTCTTTTATCCCGAATATATATTGATTTTGTTTATCGAGAATTTGAATTCGTTATATTATATTTTACAGAGTTTAATTTGGATAAACTTGTATCCAATTTAAGTATGATCTGAGCTTGAAATTTTTATATAAATATTAAAAAAATTAAGTGATTATTTAAAGAATTTTAATTTAAATTTAGATATAATCAATTAAAATTTAGTCAAATAAAATTTTTAGAATTACATCAATTTTTTCTCGAGTTTCATATTGAATCATTCATATCAAACTTTTAATGGTAATGTTATATTTATTAATTTTTTTTATCCTAAATAATATAATATAATCTTTATCATCGAATATTAATAACAAACCACAGCGGTATGCCTGTAATATCACGAGCAAAGCAATGGCAAATAACTCTCCACTGCGTATTTAAATCCACCAACTTGCCTAGTTTTTGTGTTCCACCGTAATTCCATAGCTCCACGCAGCCGAACGGGAAAATCAAACCCTATCGCTAACAAAGATCAAACGCAGTCCATCATCTAGGGTTTCGAGTATTTTCTGCATCATCATAACGACTGTTCATATCTGTAAGTCACATCATAAATATTCAAAATCCACACGGCTACTCATATATGCTGTGTTTTGTGAGTGTTTAGCAATCTCTGGCCCGTTTCGAATTTGATATCGAAATAAGTGTGGTTATGTTAATAATGACTGGATTGTTTGTTTTGCTGATATTTGTTGATTAAGTTTAGTTCCTGTTTTTTTAAACTTATTAATGTTCCGTGAAAATTGAAATTGATACTTGTGATTTTTCAATAAGGATTTTTGTTGTCATATCATGCCATGGTTTCGGATTTCAGACTTTGAATATGAGATTTTTATCATATAATGTATTTTGTCAAACGTTTAAATATAAATTCTGTGGATATTATTATGTAAATCAACCTTTATTCTTGAATATTGTATGCGTGCTTTTATCCTTGTTTTTCTGCGCCCATGCGTACATACACTTGTTATCCATGATTTTCATGTTAATTAGAAAGGAGGTGTTGGGGCTTTGGGTGTCAATGTGTGTGTGAAATCCCCAAGTGAAGTATGGATTTGTTAGATTCTTGAAATCTGGGATTTCCTGGTTATTAAACCAGGATCCTTGATTTCTTGTTTTTCAAATTTCTGAATTTTTGGTTTGTAAGTTAGGGTTTACTTTATGTTGTTAAGCCGTCTGAGAGGTTCCCAGATTTCATGTCTTGGATTTGTGAAAGTCATGATATTATTCTGTTTCGTGTTGAAGAGGATGCTTGATAGTGGTAATGTGCATCTGTTGTGTATGAATGCTTCTTGTGGATAGAATCCAATACTTCCCAATCGTTATATTTGCGTATGGAATGGATAAATTTTGGTGCAATAAAAGAAGGTTTAAAAGAACTGGTATACATTGAGACTTGCAAGGGAATGGGACATGTTGATACTTGGGAGGGAGGATATAGGACATGTTGAAAGGGGTCTTGTGGATCTGGCTTTAGCCTTCAAGGAATAATTGAAATTGGGTAATCTAACATGATGTTATATGCCCACTGGGAAGATCAGCATGCTATATGAAATTTTAGCTAGTTTAAATTAAGTATTAGTCAAACTACATATGACTCCTTGCAGTTAGAGGGATATTTATAAATGCATGGAGTAAAACTATTTTGAGCCATGTCCTTTCCATTGATTGGAGGGAAAGCATTTAAAAATGCCCAGTGAAATATTTGCTCCGCCATTTCCCATCAGCCTGCCTTTTTATCAGGATTGCTTTCTTTTGTGCTTTTTTGGGAAAAAGGAAAATAGTGAACCCGTTGAGCTGAAATTTGTCAGGACTACATTTCCTTTTGGATCTTCACACTTGCCATACTCTGGGGGATTGTAATTTTGGAATTGTGGAGGCCCAATTCACTAGTGGCTGTGTTGCATAGAAGTATGCATTTTTTCATGGGCAATATTCTCTAATACATAGACTGCTTCATATTTGAATTGTTTGTTCAGTTTACATATATTACAACTTGTTTTGTAAACATCTTTTATTTTTTAATTCCTGATGGCCTCTAATGTTGTCATTGTTCCATTTTAATCTGAAATTGGTGTTGTTGCAGTTATTAAAGAGACCATGACTGAAACATCTATCCTGAGTTCTATGTTTTGACCGTCCTTATATTTCTATATTTCAGCACTCATATGTGCTATGCATAATATAAAGGCAATATTGGTGCATAGAGAACTGGTATTGCTATCAGTTCATTACTGTAATTTCTAGGAGTGTACTTGACTCTGGTTTTACACTTCTTCAATTTTTGCCTTATGAGTTACCATTAGAATGCATTTCCCTTTCTTATTTTGGATGTCTGCTTTCTAAATTACTTACTGGCTTATAATCAGTTATGAGTTATGACACATTGGTTCTGTTTGATGATTTGAACAGGAAGATTGAATGATCTAATGGAGACTAAAGGTGGGAAGAAGTCGTCTAGTAAATCCTTATTCTATGAAGCTCCCCTTGGATACTGCATTGAAGACATTCGACCCAACGGTGGAATCAAGAAGTTCAGATCTGCTGCGTACTCTAACGTGAGTATTGGGGGATAATATGCCTAGTTGCATACGCATGCTATGAATATTCTCACATTTCCTGGAGTTCCTTCTTAGGGTTATGTTTGAATTTCAAATAATCCTGACATTATGCTTTTATATTTTTATGTGCAGTGTGTTCGCAAACCATCCTGATATCCCTAAGTTGGATCCCAGACCACGGTTGATGACGTGGTTGAAATAAACTTTTAATTTAGTTTTTCTTTTGATCTCCTCACACCTTTTTTTTCCCACCCCAATCGCTCTCTTACTTGCTCTATTCGTAGCTGTAAACATTTTCTGTAGTAGATATGGACTTGCCAATCTCTGCAATTGGTTTTGAAGGTTATGAAAAGAGGATTGAAATTTCGTTTTTTGAGCCAAGCATCTTTGCTGATCCCGAAGGGAAGGGTCTTCGATCTCTTTCCAAAGCTCAGTTGGATGAGATTCTGGAACCTGCTGAGTGCACTATTGTCGCTTCACTGTCAAATGACCATGTCGACTCTTATGTCCTCTCTGAGTCAAGCCTCTTTGTTTATCCTTACAAGATAATCATCAAAACATGTGGGACAACAAAGTTGCTCTTTTCAATTGCACCCATCCTGAAGTTGGCTGATTCACTTTCCCTCACTGTTCGGTCCGTCAGATACACTCGTGGGAGCTTCATCTTCCCTGGAGCTCAGTCATATCCTCATCGTAAATTCTCAGAAGAGGTTTCTGTACTTGATAGCTACTTTGAGAAGCTTGGTTCAGGCAGCAAGGCTTTTGTAATGGGCAATTCTGACAAATCACAGAAATGGCATATCTACTTTGCTTCTGCTGAATCTTACCAATCTCTTGACCCTGTTTACACACTAGAGATGTGTATGACTGGTTTGGACAGGGAGATGACTTCTGTCTTTTACAAATGCCAGTCAGGCTCAGCAGGTTTGATGACCAATGACTCTGGTATAAGAAAGATTCTTCCAGATTCTCAAATATGTGATTTTGAGTTTGATCCTTGTGGTTATTCTATGAATTCTACTGAAGGAGCTGCAGTTTCTACAATTCATGTCACACCGGAAGATGGTTTCAGTTACGCAAGCTTTGAAGCTGTTGGATATGATTTTCAAGTTCTAAACGTGGGTCAGCTGATTGGAAGGGTGTTGGCTTGTTTCCGACCGACCGAGTTTTCTGTTGCGATGCATGCTGATGTTGCTTGCAAGTTTCTTGAGCAGGCTTGCTATTTGGATGTGAAGGGTTACAGTCTTGCTGAGAAGAGCCATGAAGAGCTTAGAACTGGTTCCATTGTGTACCAGAAGTTTATGAAGACACTGGATTGTGGATCTCCTAGGTCTATTCTAAAATGCTGCTGGGAAGAGGAAGAGGAGGGAGAAAAGGAGTGGAGTTTCGAGGCTGCTTCTATCAAACATTAAATAAAGCTGTTCTCTCTGTACTCTGGAATCATCTGTCACAGACTCAGAATACTGGTCTTTGTGCCCGAACTCGGGTTTCAGTTAAGTGTTGTCTAGTCTATAATTAGCTGAATCGTTAAATTTGTAATGTGAGTCTCTGTTAAATTTGTGGATTTGGTTTACAGTTTCGTGCTGCACCAGAGGCCTCTCCTATTGTTAATGTTTATTTTTAATCTGCAAACTCATTTGTGTGTAATGTTTGAATTTCGGTGGAAATTTATAGAGGTTGGAGTATTCTCTTTCACACGGTTTTTGTGCAAGACAAGGTTGCGGGAGACCTGCGAGATGATTCTCAAGTCAGATATATTTTGACGAGGGAATAAGAATGAAATGACTCGACTCTTTTTTATTTTGGGATACATCGGTAGTTCTCGGAGTATGCATTTAGTATCATCTTCGTCTCTTAACTTCTGTCTTTGTCATGTTTGTCTTTAAGAGTTTTCAGTTTGGTAGTAAATGATTTATTTTTTTATTTCCGTCGAAATAATTAATGGAAAATGATTGTGTCTGCTGTTAATAATTACATGTGTTCACTGCATCCCCCGCTTCCCCAACCAAAAAAAAAATTACATGCGTTCACTTAAACAGTAGTAAAAACAACTAGACCAAGTAATTAGACTAGTGGCTGTAGTTTAGTTGTTAGAAATCTGTGTTGCGGCCGGGCTTGAATCCCAGCAGCCACACGTGTAAGCAGTTTTTTTCCAATTTTTAAAGTATGGTACCAAAAAATAATATTTTGACACCTTAACGAAACTCTAAAAAATATTGTACAAATTGTAGCGACTCATAACCAACTATTTACTGAAGTCTCTGTTGATGGGTGTATCTTCTTTTCTCTCTCTCATTTTCTGACATGTATGACTTTTGCTTTGCCTCTGGATCTTTTCTAGAGCAGGAGCCACCTAGAGACTTACATGATGTGTGCTGCTGCTAACCAACCTCCCTTGGAGTTCGTATTGAAAATTTGCACAGGTTGGTTAAGTGGCCGAATGAAAGTTGAAACCAACACGTGCAGAGTTCGAGTTTTGCCACATTTGGTAAGTCCGTGGGTAATCGCACTGTACAGAATATGGCAAATATATGTGTGAAATAAGTTGATGAATAGCAGCATCATAGGGAATTCCCAAAAGATTCAGCCAATCCTGTTAGAATTTCACATGAAATAAGATCTGGGAAAAGAAAGATGAAAATGACATAGAACTTCCTTAGTAAATAGGCAAACCAGATGGCATTTTAGATTAGCAATCCTGAACAGTATCATCAAAAGTACCACAAAGTAACCATCATTAGGATTCTATATGCACCCAAAAAATATTTCTGTCTTCCACTGTTTCCTCAATGAACTTAAACCAGACAGTTTCAACAAAAAAAACAAAAGATGGAGTAACCATTCTCTCTTAAAGCAGTTCGATGACCAAAACAATTCATGTGCTTAACTTGATGCTAATAGAAATCCTTGAACATGATTTCTGCACAAGATGACGCACGGCGAAATCGTATTACTTCTTTCAATATCTCCAATCCTCTGTCATTAACCTTCGCTGGATTGGGTTCAATAAGCATCTTCTCCAGCATCGGCAATGTGGCCAGCAGAAACTTAACAAACATCAATTCAGGCAATGTGCCAGTCATACAACGCATCACCACTTCTCGAAGTCGAAAGCAAGAGACTTTTGTGTTGCTTAGTGTATCATAAAATCCTAGAACAGAACCTTTAACAGCTTCTGTGCTGACAAATGCCTAAAAGAAGATAATGAAACGGTATCGACTTAAATCATTGAAGTATATTTCAAACATATGAAATAAAAATATGTATTACGTACCTCAATTGTAATTTTCTGTAAGTTGGGGGAGTTTCTGATCAAGAAAAGTGCAAACTTGACATCCATTGTTAGCCCAAAACATATTTCAGACAATTTAAGATATTTTAGGTGGCTCAAAGAAGCTGGTATGCCAACTGCAGCCATGGACTTCAACAAATACCAAAAAATAAGATCAAAGATATGCCTGGCTTCACTATGGAGCAGATTTTCATATATACATTCAAATAGTTAAAGAAAAAAAAATAAGCTCATTTTACCTTAAAATAACGATAATCCATTTCCAGATTCTCAATAACAGGTACAGAACTAAGAAGCTTGATCATGTTAGCCGTTCCTTCTTCCACCAAAGAAAATGCCCCATCTATTGGGATTTTCAAACTAATTGAGACGAATGTGAGAAGAGGGGCATTTATCAAACGAAGAGATTTGAAAAAGGCTTTCAAGCATAAGAACTTGAGATTGGGAGCAACAATTTCAAGGTAGTCAAAAATAATTGAGCTTTCAAATGTCATGGTCTGAAGAAGTGGACAACTGGAAATTAAATTAGCAAGCACATCAGCAGTAATAAGGACTTCAGAGAACACTAAGCAAATTAGCTTGTCAAACCCTTGAAATGTAGGTGCAGGTCCAAAGACACACGAATGGAGATCCAAATGA